TATTATTATTTATTGTCATCCTAAAATAACTGATTTTTTTTTCAAATTAAGAATTTAAAAATAATATTTATATTTATTTATAATACTTTAAAATAATAAAAAATACAAAGAGCTTTTTTACGATTAAATGATTAATTAAAATGAAAAGATGATTAAATTAAAGTAAAAAATATTTATCTATTTTAAAAAATAAAATAATAATAATTAATTTAAGATAACTTTAAATTAAAAAAATAATAATTATATTAAAATAGATGAAATATTATTATTACTCTTTCTACCTACCTATTTTTCATAATATTGCATTTATTTTGGGTTTTAACAGTGATCATATTTTCAGTTCTTTTTCTTGAAAAAAAAATAATAATAACAGAGGAGGGATAAAATGATCAAGAATTAACTTAAAAAGAGGAAAAAGGGAGTGTACTATTATCTGATTATTATATTCTATTTTTGCCCATATTATTTTATCCGATGCCATTTTTTTCTTTTTTTGGGAAAAAAGAGTTAAAAAAAATTTTCCAAAATTTTTTAGGGTTTCTCCTTCAACAGAGAAGCCAATCCGGTGACCATCTTCGTTCCTCTTTCTATACTCTTTGGTTTGACTGCCGGCGGTTGCCATGGGGATGAAGCTGCCGCAGAAGTTACGTCGCCATCGGCGGAATTTTTCACCAGGGACGGCGATTCCGATTCGCCGAGAATTTCCTCCGCCGGTGGAATTTCGTCGCGGAAGATCAGTTCCAGCTCTCCGCATTCGTTCGGTTCTTTGGTCTCAGGTGAAGCAACTTCGATCTGAGAGGCTCTGGTGAAGGCAGAGAGCCATTTGGCACGCGAGTACTCTGCCTTTCTCCAGGGAGGCAGGTGCATACCTTTCTTCGTGAGGCTCTGCTTCGCCGCCTCCGATACGATCGAAACGATTCGATCCAGACGCTCTGGTTTTCCGACGAAGATGTATGGCAGTGATTGGACGATCGCCTTGTAGGTTCCCGTCGTCCGTGCCATCTCGAATTCCGATCTAAAGTCAACGTCTATCAACAATCTCTCCCCTTCCACCACCACATCTATGTACTCGTATTCACCTGGAATCCAAATCAACGATTTATATATATTTTTAAAATTTTTTTCTGTTATTAAGAAAATTAATTTAGGAATTAAAATTCGAATTATCCTGAAAGGAGGTTACCAGCAGGGATTGCTGAAGTTTTCTCCCATTTGGATTTGCAAATTGAAGAATCGTAGCCGAGAGACGACAAGCCGTCGGTGACGATCTTTCTCAAATCGTCTTTCCGCTTGTGATTTTTGTTCTTTTCGACGATCATCGCCGTGTCTGCCAAGAGTTTCCCCTCCACCAAACAGGCGCAAGGTATCAAACTCTGGTTGAGAAAATATCAACATCAAGTTCAGTTTGGATGCTGGAAAAATGCAGGGGAATGAGAAGGAGAGGAGAAGAGACATTCACCTTGAGTACATCACAGGTATCACCAGACAATCCACCGTTGATCGACTCCCCAAACACATCAAACTCGTCGTCGGAGCTGTCATTGCCGGTCCTGTTGAAGCAGTGGCAGCGATTGCGGCCGCATTTCACAGATTGCTGCTGCTTCTCGTTGTGGCTCTCCTCAATGAAAATCTGTACCATTTTGTCCAAACAAACGGAACTCGGCTCAAATTCTGGAGCTCCATCTTTGCTGAACTGAGCTCCACCAACAGTCTGCTTCTCCACGGAGGATATCCTCAACACGCTCGGAAACTGCAGGTCAAAGAGCCTCTTCAGACGCGATTTCAGAACCGGCTTGGTCGGTTCGGCTCGAACGATAGCTGCTTCTCTCGGTGAATAGATGTCGATTGGCTGGATCTTCATCGGAAAAGGCATAAGGAAGCTACAACTTCACTCTTGAGAGGTTTGAGATTTTCTGTGTTCTAAAACACTGCAATTTTTTCAATTCTGCCCCTACTTTTTAAAGCGATAATCAGCTTAAATTCGTGTTAAAACTTTCATAAACCAATTCTTTTCTCTGGTTCTTCTGAATGTACATCCAAAAACCCCCCTCACCACTCCCCAAAATTGATTCTACAAATTCACAAAATTCATGCACATTCAACAAAATCCAATCGCTCACTCAATCAAAATCTTTAACCGTCACCAAGGAAAAAAAAAAATCTTTAACCGTCACCAAGGAAAAAAAAAAAACGATAATCGATACCTTTCTCTCTCGATTCGTCCATCAATTCTCCAAAAAAAAAAAAAAATACTGCAAAAGCAAGGAATAACCTCGCTGTAGCGAAAAATTGGAGAAGATTGCTACGATTTAGTGCCTTTCTTGGAAGAAGTGACGAGGATGATCGGATATGCTAACATAACATTGCGTGTTAAAAGAGAAGAGGAGCTCGCCGGAATATTCATTTCTCCGGCGACCAGTTGTACTCAGAGAGAGAGAGAGAGAGAGAGTGAGGGCTACTTAGTTCCGTTTCCTTTGGGTTTGGTGTTTCCAGGAAGGCTGATGGAATGGGGAGCGGATTGGCCACTCTTATACTGGAGGAAGCTGAAGAGGTGGTGCACTGTGTTGCTCACGGCGACCAAATGTGCCACGTGTGCTTATCCTACAAGCTATGAGATATCCTGAATTTTACTGTGATCGCGTGTCACACCGTCGCACGGTAGTATTTTCGTTTGATGCTGTAGATTGAGGACACGTGTCTGATCAAATGATCAGTTGGTTGGGACACAGAGATCAATTAATATCGGAAATTGTGTGGCGCAGGGTAGTGGATGGGCAGATTTGGAAATTTATGGAAAGCATTTTTCTAATAAGTATTTTTTGATAATAAATTTGTATAAAAAAATAAAAATAGATATTAATTTTAAAAATTAATGTCACCTAAATAAATTTAATTAAATAATTAATAAATTAAATTTTATTTTTTTATTTTTTTAAAGTTTTTAATTTGTGTCCTTAAGTATATATTAAAAAAATCTGGTAAAAGCTCACAAGTTACCCTTCAATTTTTTTAATATGTGAAATTTTATCTCTCATTTTACAATATGTGATTTTATACTCTCTTAATATTCAAGTTTATGATTGGTTAAATGCTAAATTTGATCCCTCAACTATATAGAGTTGCATTTTTTTGGTCCCTCAACAATTTTTTACACATTTTTTATCCCTCAATTCTAAAAAATGCACAACGTTTGTTCTTCCGTTAATTTGGGCCGCTAACTCCGTCCATGTGGCATTTTTTATATTTTTTTTATGACATGGCGAAAACAACTTAGAAAGGTGATAATCTAAATTTTTTTTTTATGACATGTCCCACATATACCAAATTAGATTAATATTTATATTTTTAATAAAAAATAAAAAATTGCAAATTTACCTTAATACCCCTATCTTCCTTTCTTAATCCATCTTCTTCCCCTCTTTCGATCCATCTTCTTCTTTTCTTTCTTCCTCTTCCTCCTCTGTGTTGCTAGGTTCTCTCAAACCAAGCTAATCTGGGTTCAAGGGAACCCAGCTCAGGTTCAATGGAACCCAGGCTAGGTTTTGTCAAACCCAAATTTGCTAGGTTCCGTCGAACCCAAAACCCAGATTTGCTAGGTTTAAGGAATCCAACAACTGGGTTCCATCGAACCAACTCCACTTTTTTTTTGTTATATATTTGTTGCAAAGAGTTTATGCAAATTGTAAGTTGTGAGGGATTTTTGGGATCATTTTGCTTCATATTTCCTAACTATTGTCTAAATGATTTTAATGTTTAAAATGGAAGAACAGTGGGTGATGGAAAGAACAAAAGCAACGACCGACGGGTAAAGAAGAAATTTTTAGTGGGTTTCCATTTGTTTGGCTAGAAAATTATACAGTTTGGGTGTTTAGTTGCTGAGAAAATAGTTTCAATCTATTTTGTTAAGAAAATTTGATGAGGAAATTGTGATTTAATTATAAATTAATTTAGAATCTCAATTTTGATTAACATAAGTAATTATAGTTTAATGATGATTAATTAGTGAAATTTGTGAAAAATCTTTGGAATCCCAGCAAATGTAGGGTTCTAAGTGAACTTTAAAGGAGAAAGAACAAGGAAAACATGATAATTCTTTGAGAAAATCTCTGCAATCTCAAAGAAAATCTGGGTTTGGGTTTGAAGAAAATCTTTATTTTGTAAGTTTTTAGATTTTTCCTACTGCTGAAAGAGAAACCCAGAAGACATCTTTCTTTGGTTTTTGTAGGCAATGTGGGATCCATTGGAGGGGCTTGGCGCGAGAAGATGACATGTCATTAGAAACAAGTCATTGTCTTCTCCATGTCATAAAAAAAAAATAAATAAATGCCATGTGGCAGAGTTAATGACCTAAATTGACGGAAAGACAAACGTTGTGCATTTCTTAGAGTTGATGGATAAAAAATGCGCAAAAAATTGTTGAGGGACCAAAAAAGTACAACTTTATAAAGTTAAGGGACCAAATTTAGCATTTAACCTTTATGATTCTATATCCTTATGGTCTTTGAGTGTGTGGAATGTTATCCCTAACCTTATAACTTTCAAGGGTTACACGTGACCTCACAACATTAAAAATTATCTCATTATCATAAACTTGAATATTAAAAGGGTATAAAATCACATATTGTAAAGTAAGGGATTAAAGTTTCACACACTCAAAAAGTTGAAGAGCAATCTGTAGGGTTTTGCAAAAAAAAAAACCATGACAAAAAAAAAAAGTAAAGGTAAGAAGATGAAATGATTTTATTGTGGCATTTTTAATTATTAATGTGATATTATTTTATTTTAATTTATTATTATATTTTTAATTTAATACAAAATAAGTGTTAATTTTTTTAAAAAATAAAAAACCATGACAAAAAAAAAAAGTAAAGGTAAGAAGATGAAATGATTTTATTGTGGCATTTTTAATTATTAATGTGATATTATTTTATTTTAA